AGGGAAAGATGGTGGGACTAACACAGCGCAAGAGAGGTGGGAGCCCTTAGAAAGCCACCATCCAGCTCAGCAAATGCAAGTGAAACTGTCAGGAACCAACAGGAACAGGTAGAGGATGTAGCTGTTGCTTGACGCAGCCCTGTACACTGCTTACGCTCAATGTAGCACTTCAGACAAGGACATACTGTGATGATAAAACATAGTGACCTGGAGAGAGACATCTAACACACTATCGAACATCCTAAGAAAAAGGCAGTAACTGGCATTAGAGGGGTTTCATGTGTTCAGTGACCAACTCCTTCGGGGGTTGCTAACTTTCAGCAAGTCAGAGAACCACTGAATCAGTGGGGTTTGGGTGGGAAGGGACCTTCAAAGATCATCTAGTCCAGTGGGTCATCAAGAATGGGGGGTTAAGGCTATGTTAAATACTTGGTCTTCCTTGGTGAGGGATGTTTCTCTCATAACGTCCTTGTCTATTTTTCCTTAAATTCTATAATAAATCATAATTGGTTGGACGTAATCATTCGGTGACAGTCAGCTCCCTTAGAACTGTTTATGAGAGTTATAAATGGAAAATATTGTTTACCAATAACATCCTTCTCTGATTGCACATTAGGAATAAGCAAAATAAACAAGCCAGTACATAAATGTAACCGAAGCTATCTACTCAGATGGATCCAGTTCTTAATCCCAGGCTCTGGGGACCCCAGTAAGGAACATTTTTTCATCTTAACCTCTAACCAGGACAGGAAATTCTTTTGCCCTCTAATTTGTTTCCAAGTTTTCAGTGTTGAAAAACTGACCAGTTCAAAGTCTGTGGAAAAGCTTTAGATCATAATCAGGCCACCACTTTCCCTTCAGCTCCATGTTCCCCTCAGACAAGAGCAGCGCACTTACGGGATTCTCAGAGGAATCTCTTCTTCGGTCTTGAAACGTCCAGTCCAGAGGAGGATCTTTTTGTCAAACTTCGAAGGTTTGTAACTTGCAACCACCTTGTGAGCCTGCTCAGCTTAAAGATTAGGGAAAAAACACTTTGTCAAGCCATGCACTAAGAGCTAACGATGGGTGGTAGTAAGGGTGGAGGGGGAAAACCCCTGCCCATCCTGGTCGTTGGAAGAGTCACTCAGGGATTCAAATTCAGGTCTGCCCTACGCAGAGTTATCTCCAGGCGGTCTCCTGAACAGCCCCGCATGCAATGGGAGTCTCTGCGGGTCTGGTTCGACCTCCCCGCAGCCTGCGGGTA